TTGGCGTGCGCGGCAAGGGCACACGCGCACAGGGACATGCGACTGGTGTTGCTTGCGTGCAAATGTCCTCCGCGCATGGCAAGACATACTCATGCTACGGGTTTCTCACTTTGTCGCACTTTGATGAGACACCGGTGTTGGATCTTGATGGCTTCATTCCTTTCTTCTTGTATGGAGCTAATATAGTTTTGTACATACTTTTCCATGCCTCCTTGTGATTGGTTATTGTGGTAAGCTTGGTGGCTTTATGATCACATCACATAATCCCTTTCGGGTCAATATAGAAGCTAGCATACACGAAACAACGGCCAACAGTAACTCGAAGGTTAAGAAATAAAATCAGATTTGCTTAAAACTAAATGTAGCAGCTAGAGGTTTGGCTCAAGGTAGTTACAACATGTAAATCTCCCCAAAAATGGGGTTTAGCTCGTAACGGGTAAAGAAACAAAATGGAAGGAGAAGAAATATAACCCATAGCAGAAAAATAGCTAAATGACAAAGAAGAAGAAGCAGTCAGCTCGTTTCAGCAGGCGAGCTTCCCGTTTCTGGCGTCAGCTATCTTCCCGAAATTGGGTATATTCCCTTCCCTCGTCTTTTTAGCTCTCAATTTTTGTTTCTTTTAGGATCTGCGTGTCTGTTGACTACGGCAACATACCCTTTGAATTTCGGGTCCCATTTTTAGGGCACCCGACTGGAGATTCTATGGACATAAGTGAATCTCGTGTTTTTTAATTAATTGTACGGACACTCATGCTCTGGCATTGCAGTGCTCCAACATTTATATGCTCTATCTTGAAAATGACTTGACTTCTCTGCTTTGGTTCAGTACATCCTTCTCTTCTTAGCTTTTCTTTATAAACTTATGCAAATGAACCACAAATACAAGAGTTTATGCTATTTTTGGCCAAAGTTCTCAAGATTAAGGATATTTAGCTAAGAATTTGCATTTGAACACTATTCATGTTAATTATGACCTGAAGCCGACATACTTTGACATTTTAATGCACATTTTCACCCAAATAATTAGCGGAATAACTCTCTTTTTAGAGTCATCAGACCCCCAAACTTGAAATTTTGCTTGTTCCCAAGTAAGAGCATGCATTTTAGTCCAGAAAATAAAAGAAGGCACTGGAAATTTGTACTTCAAACAATCTAATCTTCTGCTTCAACCTTCTACTTCTAGCCAACTATGCTAATGCTTAAAAACTCTGCTAAAATACAGCAGCTAGAGCAAGGAAATGGAAGCAGCTTAGATTTGCCCAAACTTTGGAATATGCTATTTCTACTCAGCCCTAACTTCCTTCTACTTCCCAACCTCAAACTTAGCTTCTCTTAGAAAGTCCTTTCTCACACTCCCTTTCACTAGCCTAAACCTTTGACCTTTGCTCTGCCAACTTGGACTTCTTCAATCATTGGCTACTAGCCCTTCCTAATAATGCAGCCTCTTTATGCTCTGGGTACGGGCTACTAGCCCTTCCTTTATTGCGAGCTCTTTTTTTTTTAATTTGGGCGGAATTACAAGATTAAAAAGATTCATGGTTATATACAAGTGTTACTAAAGATTTAAGAACTGAAGGTTCACTCCCCCCCAAACTTAAAAGGTTGCATTGTCCTCAATGTGACTAAGGACATCTTCGTTACAATGCTATAGCACGCCCCTAAACTTAAAGCGAATGTGTATTGTGAAGGATTAAATTCGCTCTTTAGAGATGTTTTTTTTTTAAATATGAAGGGATAATGCTAACAACTAACGGGGACAAAGAGAAATCCAAGCTAACTATATAAAGATAAAGAGGTGGCTTTGGATAGGTGGCCTTTGAAATTCTTCTCCAGGGCAAGCGTTACTTGGGGTCAGTACTACTAGAGGGATACTAAGGCATGGGTGAGCAAGTATGGGCCAAATGCTGGGGCAAAGGAAAGCTATCTAACATTAAAAAAGCTCCAGCATCAGCAAATATACTGTGCATTAGCAGGCTCTAGCATAACGACTATTTACAAAAGGTAAAGCATCAGTCAGAATATGAGAACACGGAATTTTCCAGAACTTCTACTATCTCATTTAATATAAAGGGGGGAGGGTCATAGCTGACTGACAAAATAAAATAAAATAAACAACTAGAATTGAAATTGAACTACTAAACATTAAAAGACAGAAATTTAAATGCAGAAATTAAAACCTAACTAAAAATGTAAAATAACATGAGGGGGGCATCAATTTTTTTTCAAGACGAAATGATAGGCACTTCCTTTTGTCGGTCAATCAGAACTTTCTTCTTCCTATGAAGAGTCGCACATAGGCTGATCTTCCTCTTCAGAGCTTCCGGATTGCTCCAGCCATTCCTTTAGACAGGCTGACACGACGGATGGGGATGGGGCTGCTGCTTTAAAATGCTGCAACGTTGCCAAGATACTCGCATCTCTCTTCTTCGCCTTCTCAGCCGATGCAGACTGCACCTCTTCCATTCATGAGAGCTGTTTTTGCATTTTGGCGAGCTGGGCCATCATTTCATTGATGGCCACATTCTACACAGCTCCACGGCAAGTACGGTCTTGGTTCATCAACCTTTCCACCGTACTCCTATCTATCACTAACTTGTCTTTGAGGGGCTCTTCGTCATCCAAGACGGGCACATCTCTACGAAGGTAGAGTTTGATGATAAGGCTGGGGAAGAACAAACAGTCAGTTTTCTTCATTGCACATTGAGTCATGTCCCGGTGGATAAGCTATCCGACGTTGATGGAGTGACCTTCCAAAATGCAGGCCAACAGAAGGACTCCGTCGTTCGTAACAAACCAGTCATGCGTGGTAGACATGACCCGGCTTTTAATGAAGTAGAGCCAAACGTTGGCTTTCCCCGTGAGTTGACCAGATTTAATCGAGCGGGCACCCTTGTCCGTCACTTGCCAAACAACACCCTCAATTCCTACCAAATGTAGGGCATTGTCAAGCTTCCGCATGAAGAGCTGCTGGATCATCGCATTGAACTTAACCTCTGGATTGTTTGACAGCTTGTTGATTCTCTCCGGCGTCCAGTCAATTTCTACCTCCCACACCATTGTGTGTCTCACTCTTTCAGGGTCAAAGTTGGCATAGAATTCTCTCACGAGCTCCGGCAAAACCGCCATAGGGGGAGCACATAAATGCCCCACATTAACCGCGCAACTCCCTCCTTCACAAATTGAGGCATCTCCGCCTCAAAAAACCCTTTTTCTAGGTACAAGTCCGTGGTCTTTATCGCCCTGTAGCTCGCCTCACCTCCGGGTCAACGAACTTCTGGAATGCTGCCTGGCCAGCAAGGACAACCGTGATGTGCTTGGAGGAGCTCGGTGTTGGAGGAATCTGGGAAACAATGACCATCCAGCTGCGACACTTCCCTTCAAATGTGAAGCGGATTTTGTGGCTTTTGATTTGGCAGGGGACGGTAGAGGCACTTTTGGTGTTTTCCTTTTCTTAGCCGGGCTAGAGCTTGGGATAGCTTGGGCTAGCCGCTTACTCTTTCCAATTCGTAAGGTCGGTTCATCAGTGGGTGTGGATTTGTATGGGATAGGAGGATGGATTTCTTCTACGAAGATGGGTGGAGGGATGGTGGAAGTTGAATGAGGGGTCGTCGTGGGTTGTGAAGTCTGTGGAAGGAGGAGCGGTGAGTTTTTTTGGGTCTTCACCAGCGGGTAAGGGCTTTTCAGGTTGGGTCTGAGAGGAGGAGGCTGTAGGGTCAGGGGCGTTTACCCGATGACGGTGACAGGAGGAGGCGGCGGCGAAAGCTCAGTGTCAGCCGGAGTGTGCTCCGAGCTGATGGAACTTTGCTGGGAAGGACTCTACACATCAAAGGCCTCTAGCGGAATGGTTTTAGCGGCCTCCTTGAAGTCGCTGCTCGACCCAGAAGTTGCTGAGAGTTCCAGCTTCAGCGCTCTCTTCCTATTCGCCTTGTATTTAATTCTAGGCATTCTGGGTTATAGTTTTGGGAAGAAGAAAAGGGTTTTGAGAGCTTAAAAGGGGAAGGGAGAGGTATGGTTATGGTGCAGAGTGGGGAGAAAAGAATGAGGGAGACGTGGGTCTTAAAGAAAAACAGAAAGTTGTTGTGACCCATTAAAGATAATATCTCCCACGATTTTCTTCCAATTAATGGAAATAACATTTCCCCCCAAAACGAAAAAATAATATCCCCTCAAATCTCTAGCAATAATGATATTTTCCCAAAAATTGAAAGTTTTACTTACATCTCTCATTCGAAGCTGAAATTTGCTATAAATACCTTTCTGCATGTTTGCCACGCCCTGACGCTCTCACCTACCTTGTCCTTTGGTGTTAGGGACATCACGTCGTCATTACTGTATGCTCTTTTTGAAAGTTGTCCACTCAACCTGATTTTTAATTATTTGCCCCCCTAAAACCAAAATGAAAGCATATTAAAATTTAAAATGGCAAATAAAACAATTAAACATCTAAATTTATAAATTCAAAACTGGAGAGCAATAAAATAATTAATCATTAAATCCTGCTTCTTTTATTCCGTTGTTGATTTCTCAGTCCGCGGCCAAGTGGTAAGTTCCGGCATCTCTCACCACGCTCTAGCCAAAGAAATGCTTTAGCCTCTGCCCGTTTAAGGTAAATTCTCTTTTTTAATCCATTTCTTGTACCTTCACTACTCCATGTGAGAATGCATGTGAAACTAAAAATGGACCTGACCATCTCAATTTGAGCTTCCCGGGGAAAAGTTTGAGTCTTGAATTTTAAAGCAACACGTGCTGCCCTTTTTCAAACTTCTTATGATTGATTCTTGCATCGTGCCATTGCTTTGTCTTTTCCTTATATAACTTGGCATTTTCGTGAGCGTCTTTGCGAAATTCTTCAAGCTCTAGCAATTGTAAGCGGCGAACATCTTCTGCTACAGCATAATCCAAATTTAACTTCTTCATGGCCCAAAAGGCCTTATGCTCCAGCTCCAATGGAAGATGGCAAGGTTTCCCAAAAACTAATTTGTATGGAGATGTGCCCAGAGGCATCTTGAATGCTGTGCGATAAACACATAAGGCGTCGTCCAACTTCATTGCGCAATCTCTTCAATTTGTGTTAACCACTTTCTCCAATATGCTCTTGATCTCTCTATTAGATATCTCAGCTTGCCCATTTGACTGGGGGTGATAAGCTATGAATACTTTATGCCAACAGTATGCTATAGCTTTATTGATGATGTGGGAGCCTTCGTCACTAATCACAGCTCTGGGTGTACCAAATCTCGTGAATATTTGCTTGTGGAGAAACTTTGCTACCCCTTTGGCATCACTGTTGGTGCATGCCACTGCTTCGACCCATTTTGATACATAATTGACTGCCAATAAAATGATGAGGTTTCCATTAGATGGAGGGAATGGTCCCATGAAGTCCATGCCCCATACATCAAAAAGTTCCACCTCTAAGATGTATGTGAGAGGCATCTCTGACCTCTTGGAAATATTTCCAACTCTTTGAAATTCATTGCAATGTTGCACTAGCACATGTGCATCCTTAAAAATGGTGGGCCAAAAGTTTCCTCTCTGGAAAACTTTTGCTGCTATGCGCTGCCCTCCAAAGTGGCCACCGTATGCATCTTCTGATCACTTTATCTTGGCCAATCCTATAGAGATATAGGTCATCCTACAAATAAAACTTACTCATATACAGAAACCTTTTCAGCTGTTGCTTGTTCATGTCCGCTGGTAGAATTCCACTAGCAATGTAGTTGGCTAGATCTGCAAACAATGGTTCCTCATCTTCACTCAGAACTCCAATAGCCGACACTTGCTCATCTGGGAATGTCCCTCTAATTTTTGTCTCATGCTTGGAGCATTCTAGAGTAGGCAACCTGGACAAGTGGTCAGCAACCAAATTTTATGTTCCTTTCTTGTCCTTGATCTTTATATCGAATTCTTGCAGTAGTAAGATCCAGCGGATGAGCCTCGGTTTAGCATCCTTCTTTGTCAGTAAATACTTCAGAGCAGCATGGTCCATGTAAAGAATCACCTTTGACCCTACCATATATGCTCTGAACTTTTCAAATGCGAACACCACTGATAAAAGCTCTTTCTCTATTGTAGTGTACTTGATATGTGCCTCGATCAAAGTTTTACTGGCGTAATAAATCGGATGCAGCAGCTTCCCTCTGCGTTAAGCAAGAACTGATCCCACAGCATAGTCGCTGGCATCACACATTAATTTGAAAGGCCGGTTCTAATCTGGAGCTGTTATTATCAGAGCATGGGTGAGAGCATACTTCAGTGTATTGAAAGCCTGCAAAGATTCAGATGTAAAGTTAAATTCTTTATCAATATCAAGCAAAGAACAAAGAGGTTTAGAGATTTTTGAAAAATCTTTAATAAATCTACGATAAAAACCAGCATGCCCCAGGAAACTGCGAATGCCCTTGACATTCACTGGTGGAGGCAATTTCTCGATTGCCTCAATCTTTGCTTTGTCCACTTTTATGCCCTTGCTGGAGACTCTGTGCCCTTGCACAATTTCTTCTTGCACCATAAAGTGACACTTCTCCCAATTTAAGACTAAGTTTGTTTCTTCACATCTTTACAACACCTTCTTCGGGTTGTCCAAAAATTCTGTAAATGACTTTCCAAACTCTGAAAAATCGTCCATCAACATCTCTACCATTGATTCTACCAAGTCAGAAAAGATAGCAATCATACACCTCTAGAACGTTGCTAGAGTATTACAAAGCCCGAAGCGCATCCTTTTGAAAGCAGATGTTCCATAGGGACATGTAAAAGTCGTCTTCTACTGATCTTGAGGAGCAATTGTAACATGATTATAACCACTATAGCCGTCTAAAAAGCAGTAATACAATTGACCTGCCAACCTATCCAGCATTTGATCAATGAAGAGGAGAGGAAAGAGGTCCTTCTTTGTGGCTTTGTTCAGCTTGCGGTAATCCACACATATACGCCATCTAGATACTGTCCTCATGGGTATCAACTCATTCTTTGCGTTCTACACTACAGTCATGCCTCCTTTCTTAGGCACACAATGCACTAGACTTACCCACTCGCTATCTGAAATTGGATATATGATTCCTGCATCTAACCAGTTGATAATTTCTTTCCTTACAACCTCCCTCATAGCCGGATTAAGTCTACGCTGGGGCTCTATAGAGTTTTTGCAGTTCTCCTCTAGCACAATCTTATGCATACAAAAGCTGGGCTTATCCCCTTGATATCAGCAATAGTCAATCCAATTGCTCTCTGATGTGCCTTGAGTACACTCAACAGCATCTGCTCCTTTTCCAAGGGTAAGTCTACTACTATGATGATTGAAAATATCTCTGATGAACCAAGGTAAGCATATTTCAGATGCTGCAACAATGCTTTAAGCTTCAGCACTGGAGGCTCTTCAATAGATGGCTTCAGTAATCTAAGCTCCGGGTTTGCGAGGTCTAAGGACTCATACATTTTCTTCACAAATCCTTCATTGGCATTCATGCATTTTGACTGGACATCTTCTAGTTCCTCTTCAAATGCGTCGGCAAGACTTTCAGTGTCAATTGCTTCTAGATGCTCCAGCATAGCTTTTGTTTCCAATTCCTCCATTAATGYTTCATCCATTATCTTTAATATTGAGCACTATTCTGATTCAGTAGGAAATTTCATGGAGTCATGCACCGAGAATTTCACTTCTTGATCCTGCACACGCATTGTCAGCTCTCCTTTGTGGACATCTACTAAAACTCTCTCAGTTGGGAGGAATGGTCTTCCAAGAATAATAGAAACCTTCTTATCTGCATCATCATCCAAAATAATGAAGTCAGCAGGGAAAATAAATTTATCTACTTGTAACAAAACGTCATCAATTTTTCCCTCTAGATGCGTAATGGATCGATCCGCTAGATGCAATGTCACTGTTGTGGGCCTTCTTCTGCAATGACCAACTTGTTGTAAATTGATAACGACATGAGATTGATGCTGGCGCCCAGATCACATAAGGCAAGTCCTATCTGTTGTCCTCCAATTGAAACTGGTATGGTAAAACTCCCAGGATCTTTCATCTTTGCAGGAATTTTGCTTATGAGTATGGTGCTGCAAGCTTTAGTCATTGCTACAGTCTCATACTCTCCCAATGTTCTCTTCTTTGTGAGTATCTCTTTCAAGAACCTCATATAATTTGGCATTTGCTCTAGAACTTCCACCAATATGTTCACATGCAATTGCTTCAAGACATCTAAAAACTTCTTGAATTGAACATTATGCTCTTTCTTTTACAACCGTTTAGGATATGATGGTGCTGGCCTATATTCTGCCAGAGCATTTTCATACTCTGCCCGCTTTCTTTTCTCGGCCGCTCTGTTCTGTGTAGACCCTATCTCGGGTGCTCTTACAATTACTGGATTAACTGAATGACTGGATGTGTTCTGAACCTCATTTGGTTGTTTAGCTATCTGCTCTAGTGGATTAGGTACAACTACTTCTGCTGGCTCACTGTCCTATTAAGACTGAGTTTCTCCTTGGTCAACTTGAGTAGGTTCCTTGATCGCTACTGGAGCAATTGGGTGTGCCGGAGGTAATGCTTTCCTACTTCGCAGAGTGAGGGCTTTGCATTGTTCCTTACTGTCTCTCTTTGGCACTTATGTATCACTAGGCAATGCTCCAACCGGTCTGCTCTTCAAATCCGTCGCTAACTGGCCTACTTGCAACTCTAGGTTCCTTAATGATGCAGCCTGGCTTTGCACAATGACGTCATTATTGGCCATGTATTGCTTCATCAACTTTTCCAATGATGCAAATGATCCTTCTGATTGCTTCTGTGCTACCCTCTGTCCTTGATTCGCAAAACCAGGACAATAACTTACCTTCTGCTGAAATGCTGGAGCATTGGATGTTCCAACATTGTGTCCTTCTTGCTTGCCACTCCAACTAAAATTTGGGTGATTCCTCCAGCCAGGATTGTACGTGTTTGAATACGGATTGTTTCTACTATTCTGCGGGTTCCCCAAATAGTATACTGACTCAGGATTTTCAGGGCAGTTGTTATAACGGTGATCTCACTCGCAAAAAGAAGAAGAAATCCCTTGAATTTGATTGACATTAGCCTTACCAGCTAATGCTCCGGCTGACCTTTGCTGCGTCATCCTCCTAGTTACCAAATATGTCATTTTCTCAATCTTTGAATTCAATGCAATATATGATTCAAACTCAACTAGCCCCTTACTTGATTTTCCATGAACAGCTCTTGGATCAGACTATGAGTGATTGTTTGATGATATTCTTTCTAAAATATTGAATGCTTCAGCATAGGGTTTTGCTAGCAAAGCCCCATTTGCGGACGCATCAATTACTAAGCGTGTGGCATCATCTAGACCTTTGTAATATGTCTCTATCTGGATGCATCTTGGGATCCCATGGTGTGGACATCTATGCAACAATCGCTTGAAACCCTCCCAGGATTCACTGACTGATTCTCTAGCAAATTGCGGAAAATTGTCGATCTCACTGCGGTACTTGGTATTTTTTCTGGATGGGAAGTATTTCATCAAAAACTTCTCAGCCAAGTCATCCCAAATTGTGATAGACTATGAGGGAAGGGACTCGAACCATGTTCTAGCTTCATCTCTAAGTGAATACGGAAATAGCTTAAGCCTCAGCACTTCTTTGCTCAATCCTCTATCCTTGAATGAATTGCAAACTCCCATAAAGAATTTCAGATGCTGATGCGGGTCCTCCGTTGCATGTCCATGAAATTGACCCACTGTCTGGAGCATCTGAAATGTCACTGGTTTCAACTCAAATTTGGAAGTTTTAATTTCTGGCTCCATGGTTGAAATTGTAAAATATCGAAGCTGCATATGCTCTGATTTCCCTGTCAATGTCGTCTGCTAAGAGTACAACGTTGAGAGTGGGCACTGCTACATCAGGGTCAGAAGTGATAGGAACCCCATCTACTATTTCCTCTATCCTTACATTTCGTCGTACAGGCACATTGGGCTGAACTGGCGGATTCATTCTGTCAATGTTGGCTACCTTGTTGTCGCCTCTACTCTCATATATTTCTGGGGAAGGTACGCTCTATTTAATGGTCAATAATATATTCTAATCCTTTGTAATCGTTCATGCACCTCGCAAAAACACACAACAAAATACAAATGTGAAAACAAGAAAAATTACTTCAGCACTGTATCTTCAAATATCAATGTTAAAATAAAATATCAAAAATCCACAGCAATGGTGCCAAAAACTTGTTGCGTCCACACAACTATGTTGACAACACGTGCAAGTATACACGAATCACCGATTGTAGTACGTAACAAGGTCGTATCCACAGGGATTTTTTGTTGTATTTTAACGATAATGGCAGATACCAACAATTGAAAATATACATAGATTGAGTATGGATATTATCTAGAAAAAAATTATAATAAAGTAATAACAAGACAACATAAACTTGCAAGATACAATAGTTTCGAAGTTGTCAACACAAGAAAGCAGTAGTATAGGAAGCGATAACAGGGGAATAACAGATATGGAAAAGGCAGGGGAGATTCAGCATACTGTCACAAGTTATCAACCTACTCTCTAGCGTAGCAAACATTTATTAGTGCCCAGCTCGACTCGGTTCCCTTCCAAGACACCCCAAACATGAGTAAGTACAACTCACGTTGCTAGATACCCAAGCAATAAACCCAAGCTCTAGGCATGATTACGGGACCCCATTCCTGAGTATCCCTATAGCTATAGAAAAGCGCTAATCACAAGCAAAACAAGTCAGCACCCATAAACCCTCCTGGGTCAATACAGAAGCTAGCATACACGAAGCATCGGCCAACAGTAACGCGAAGATTAAGAAATAAAATTAGATTTGCTTAAAAATAAATGTAGCAGCTAGAGGTTCGGTCTCAAGTCAGTTACACCATGTAAAACTCCCCAAAAATGGGGTTTAGCTCATAATGGGTAAAGAAAACAAAATAAAAGAAGAAGAAATACAACCCACAGCAGAAAAATAGCTAAATGACAGAGAAGAAGAAGCAGTCAGCTCGTTCCATCAAGCGAGCTTTCCCTTTCTAGCGTCAGCTCTTCTCCCGAAATGGAAATATTTCGTTCCCTTGTCTTTTCAGCTCTCAACTTTTGTCTCTCTTGGCATCTGCGTGTCTGTCGGCTACGGCAACATACCCTTTAAATATCGGGTCCCATTTTTAAGGCACTTGGCTAGAGATTGTATGGACATAAGTGAATCTCGTGTTTTTTAATTAATTGTACGGACACTCATGCTCTGGCATTGCAATGCTCCAGCATTTATATGCTCTATCTTGAAAATCCTTTGACTCCTCTACTCTGGTTCAACATTTCCTTCACTTCTTAACTTTCTTTAAAAACCTGTGAAAATGAACCACAAATACGAGAGTTTATGCTATTTTTGGCCAAAGTTCTCAAGACTAAGGATATTTAGCTAAGAATTTGCATTTGAACACTATTCATGCTACTTATGACCTAAAGCCGACATACTTTGACATTTTGATGCACATTTTCACCCAAATAATCACGAGAATAACTCTTTTTTGGAGAGTTATCATTTTACCACTATTTTGACCCCTTTCCCATCATTGTTTTCCAAAAAGAATTACATATTCTTAATGTAACGCCCCAGAACTTCCCACACACTTCTAGGTCACGTTAACTATCCACCTGTCTGAACTTAACACCAAACACGAGATGACAACTCCCTGTGAAATAATTATATAACATAAAGCTTCAACTCTCATCAATTTACCAATGAATCAACTCTATAGAATATCAACCAAACATCATCCGCCTCATGAGGCAACTTTATTATTCCAATTAGGCAAACTCAATGAATGGTATAAAACTAAAATAAACACCTGTTCCGAAATAAAGTAGACAACGAGTGGGAACCTCCCAATTATTCAAATAAGAACAAATAGTTTAATGACCAAACCATAAGGTCTTAACGATCTAAATCTAAGCTAAGCAAAAGTAACTACGCAGCCTATGGTCCTCGCTCGTCATGTCTCCTCCACTTCATCACCATGGTCGCCAACGAATCCTCCGCCTGAAACAACAATTGTAGAGCGAGGGTGAGTATATAAAATGTACTCCATAAGTAGCCCTCACCAACAACACACAAACATCATGCTGAACAAACAATCATGAAACATTCATAGTCATGCTCTTCATCACCTTATGCAATCAAACATAGACACGCTCTATAAGATTCGGCGACCACCACGAC